CTTTGTTCCTCGCGGTTTTGCGGACCACGAGGCTGATCCTGCAGCCCCCCCCGTGGTCCTGAACCCTTCCCACCGACGCCAGCGGCGCAGCTCCCGTCAGGGCACCGTGCTTGGGAGGATGGGCACGATGAGGTCCCAGACCCCTTCTTTCACGCTTTCCCTTTTGAAGTGGAGAAAGCGAATACCCTCAACTCCCCATGACCCTAATGGCCAAACGCCAGTAGGCTTTCTTGGAAAAGCGGATGAATTCTTTGAATGTCGGCATCTTCCTCGCTTCAAGGGCTCAAGCAACAAATGGCCGCCCTGTCCAGGCTGGCCATGAAACCGTCATTAAAATATCTTGTGATGTGATGTGGTTGGGGGGAGACCCAAGGAGAGCGATGAGGCTGTCCATGACCGTGCTGGGCCACGGGCGAGACGCAACCAGCCGCTCCACGGATCAGCACTGGGGCCCGGGGCCTCAGGGGATGCGACATGGGAGTCATTGGGGGCTGGGAGGGGGGGGGAAACAAAACAAAAACTTAGGACATGGCAACTTGCATTACCAGTGTGAACAACCAGCATTTTTATTGCATTTGAGAATGCTATAATGTCAGTAATTAGTACTGACTACACAACATTTTTTATTGTCTGTATCAACAGACATGGAATGATGGAATTACAGTTGATGTAAGGAATGAGTTTCTTTTATGCCTTATCAAAAAAAAAAAAAAAATAAAAATCTTTTTACTGGCAGCACATACACACGAAGCACCATGCTAACAGTCTGGACTGTACCATTGTCATCAAGGCTTATGGGTAGGAGATACTTTGTTACCTGTTCTGGGCCCATTAAAATGCAGTCGTTAACCGCAAATTCACCTCGCAAGACGAGAATACTAAATGGCTTCTGAAACATCTAAAAAACTCACTCTGAGTTCATTAACCAAAGGTACCAAAGGATTTCGAAAGAGTTTAAACACATTTTTTTTTTTTTTTCCCCCATGCTATAATGAACGTGAGATTATTGGCGATCTGAAAACTACAATAGTTCAAAATTATTTTAAAAAACTTTATATATATATATTTATGTATGTATACATATAAAATATCTAATGATCTTCAGTATTAGCAGAACCGGCATGAATCCCTGCCCCGGTCTCTCCCCGGAGCAGGGGCTCTGGGAGCGGGGAGGCGCGGGACCTGCGGCAGGACTCTTGCGAGTGAGACTCAAATAAAGGTAATAATTTTTTTGTGTGGTCACTTATTACTACATAAGCCTTGATTTTTTTCATTTCACTTCTAGTTGAATGCAGAAACCTGACAGGTTTTACATTTACAAACTTTTTTTTTTTTTTTGTGGACAAGGAAGGCTTTGACTCTCATTCCTGACAGCGATTTACCTGATACATGGTACTACTTTCATAATGTACGCTTTTCTTTGAGAAAAAAAACATGTAACAAATTGTCTTTACATCTTGGCACCTTGTAAAGTTTTTTTTTTTTTTTTATACAAAAGTTCAATAGTTTGACACTCCCCATTATTAATCACTACTTCACTGATAAACTTTGAAAGTGTGACCCTGGAATTCATCATGCAAAATATTTACTGCAGCAGGAGAAAAACATTTTTTTTTTTTTTTAAACGACTTTTTTTTTTTTTTTCCTTTCAAATATATGAACTTTGTTTAAGACAGCCAGAAAAGGCAGTGGTAAGATAACAGAAGGGGTGGGAAAGTATCAAAAAAACCAGCTTAAACACAAAAACTGTACAAAAATGCTTCGATCAATAACAGGAGAAAAAAAAAAAAATCTGTCAACTATGTTACAATTTAAAAGCTGAAAAAAAAAAGTCAGGGATTTTCTCCCACATGTCAGCAAATGTCATCCAATATTCTTAAAGCAAGGATAACTAAATAAAATACATGTGCAGCGTATTCTGCAATTCCATTACATACAGTAGTTTTTTTTTTTTTCAAAGCTATTTTTTTAGTATAGTTAATATAAAGCAGTTGCACAAAAAGCAAAAGGTGTTTTGACAAACAGGTCTGCATTTATTCCTTTTGAGGAATGATATCTAAAAAAAGGACCTTTCCACCTTTTCCTCCCTCCCCACCCTCCCCCCAAAAGACAAAGGCTCACACAGACACAGTGGGATATATATGTACAACATAATAAACCCCTCCCTAAAGAAGCAACTGTATATCCAAAGGGATACAGAATCAGAATTGTAAAAATCATAGTGAAGTTTGCTTGATGTAAAGCCTGAGATTTTCAGTTGGTTCTTCTGCAAGGCTGCGACACCTGCCAGATATGTTAAAATCTAATTTTTTATTTCTTTTTCTCTTTTTTTATTTTTTTTATTTTTGCTACAGTCTTTAGACTAAGCATGCAAGACATACAACTAAGTGCAACTGAGTGAAATGTATTTTTTATTTACTCATTCCCTAACAGTTTGGACTGAGGTATGCGTACTAACAGTTTCTCATGCTGTTATCTTTACTCATGTCTAGCTACACATGCTGAGAATGAACTAATCTACCAGATTTTTATCCCCCTTCTGAATACCGAACTAACCAGCAAACCACTCAGTTCAGAAGCACAGGGCTCAATTCTCATGATCCCCATCTGGCTACCGCCGGCACGTCACGAAGCTGCCTGGATATAATTTAAACGAAAAGAAAAAAAAAAAATGTTTCAAATGACCACAGACTGCCCTTTTTTTCTTTGCTTTTTTTTTTCTTTGTCTTTTGAAACAGAAAGCAGAGTTGAGTTTTATAAAAGTAACTGCCAATAAAATTTCTTGTACCAAAGCTTATGAGTGGACAGGAGTGTTATTTCCTTATGAAAAATGCTGACCAAAAACTTAAAAAAAAAAAAAAAAAAACTGAGCAAATGTGCCAAGATCAACCAAAATTAAAGCAGTCATCCTAGCACAGTCCCGAAACAGAAGTGGCACACAATCTGTAGAACCAAAGACCAAAAAAAAAAATTTTTTTTTTTTCATTTAATTCTAGAAATACTATTATGTGGTCCAGTTAAATTGTGGGAGCTTTTCTGTTCTCTTCTGTGTTTTATTAAACTGCCTCCTTTATCTGATACTCTAATTTTCTGCGAAGTAACCGTGTCCTTGCTTCCTCCAGCTCCCTTCTCATAGCTCCACCAGTTAACACTGATTCCTAGGTTTTAGCCTCAAAAGCTCTCCTCAATTCCTCTTTACAGACTTTCATTTTGGTCACTGTAAAGAATTGCAAATAAAAAGTAACAACTTTGGTTCAGACGTCTACTTGGCCTTCTAAATTTTCTAGAATAAAGGAGCAGTTTCCCTCTCAGGTTAGCAATAGCCCACATCTTGTCATTTCCCTCTAAATTCTTCAACCTCCTTTGATCAACAAGAAGAGGATATTTGGCTTCATAAGATAAAGCATATAACAGAGAACATAATTTACCTTTGTGTAATATCTTTGGTAATTTTAGGAAAAAAAAAAAGGTACAAAGAAGAATATAAATTAAGCTCTGAAAAGCCTTCTGAAATAATAAAAAAGCTACAGTCCTACATAAATAAATGAGTGACGGAAAAGTGGTTGCAGAATGAAAATGTTTAGGTGTTTGGTGACCGAGGTTTACTGACCTATTGCAACAAATTTTGTATGTCATGTTTGCTTTGAAGAGCCTTGCCAGTTTGGCCTAACGAGCCCCGGCGCAAATTCTCTCCTAGATCTCCTGTCTCCTACGGCGAGGTTTCCATACTGGCTGGTGTAATATTGCAGAACAATCTTAACTGCAGTACTGGATTTGCACAGCTGAAAATTAACACTTTAGCATTAGTGGGGCTCCGTCCTTATTAACTCCTGTAACAAGTTCAATCTGAAATCTAATTTGTATTCAAACAGATTAATGCCACCAAGCAATCCTGAACTGATGTTTAACCGTGAAACATCACCACGTACAATAACAATTTAATGAAGTCATCTTTCCAACCACTATTTGCAAATGCAAATGCAAAAAGAAAAAAAAATAAATCGCAATAATAAATGTATAGGTGCCCATCTCAGTAATCTTAGATATTCCAGAAAGATTTGTTGACCCATTAGAACTCGCATCAAACAACCGAGAACTTGCCACTGTACTATTCATCCTCTACTAAAAGTGAACTCTGTTGGTGCTGCATATGTTTCTTTGTGCTGTTCGATTTTGTGGCATTTGCTAATATTCACTGTTGCTGCCAAAAAAAAAAAAAAAAAGAAAAAAAAAATAAAAAACCCAAACCAAAAAAAAAAAAAAAAACTGC